CAATGCCAGCCTCATTCTACAACAGTGGCACCATATAGCATTTGTCCCTCTGTGACTGAGATACCTCACTCAGCATAATGTCCTCCAGGGTCACCCACTCCACTTCACCTTTTATAGCCTCCAGTATCATTGGCCAAATAGAAGGTTGGATCGCGCACTAAGTCCCTGGTCACAAGTCTGAGTATCCCTGGCTGTCTGAGCCAGTCTTTGCTAGTCTCGGCAGCCCTCTAGTGGTGTTTTGTAGGACGTGGAGCAGCTGCAGCTCATTGCTTCATTGCTCTTATCCACAGATCTCCAAAGCACCAGGAAACTAGGTGTCAACCTAGCCTTTACTGCCCAAGAACCAAAATTAAGTGGGGATGAGCACTGACTCTCTGAAGGCATCATTATTTAAGTCTTGCTGGTTCTAAGCTGTAGTTTAGTTCTCACTCACCCTTGAATGATAAAGAGCAAAAATCTCAAACTTAGATGATTATATTTCAATTTATTTGTGAAGGATACAGAGTGGAACTTGTTCATATCCTAACACCTCTAACATCATAAGATTATCTAGGCAGCTGTTGGGAGAATTGGGAAGGAGACTATTTGGGCACCAACACCCTTACACTCTGGGTTTGTTCATGTACCAAGTATGTGGCATTACTGGTCACCTCACCTCTTTGGGTCACCAAATTCTTTATTAATGAAATGACTCTTATTCACAGAGTCCTTGCGAGTCTGACAGCTTATGCATGTACCTGGAGTTACTTCTGCCGAATGACTGATTTGTCCCATGCCATCCAATCTTTTACTTTGCACTTCTGACCAATGAGAATATGTCTTTCTGAGAGAAGAAATAAAAAGAGTCCTGGTACCACAGTAGTTAATGTACTGTCTTCAAACTGGGGGTGGGGGGGAAGTTAATGGTTTGAACACATTATCTACTTTACTGGAGAAAGATGTGGCAATCTGTTTCCATAGCTTTGGAGGTTCTATGGGGGTAATTCTATTCTGGCCTAGAGTCACTTTGAGTTAAAATTAAAATGACAGCGATGGGTTTATGAAGTAGCATAAGCTAAGCAAATAATACCTTGTATGGCATCTGCATACTGACAACTCTCAGTTCTCTAACCTGGATCTGTCTCTTTCCTGAGATCCAGATTTAGTGTGTAACTCTCATGGCCATTTGGAAATCTGGTAGATCCCTCCAACTGGCCGTGGCCACATAAGGCCATGATAGGCTACTCTTCCCAAACAGAGCCTCTCTCATCTCAGTAAATGTCAACCTAGTTGATCAAACTTAAAATCTGGGGATTCTATTTGAACTCTTCCTTTGAGTCATACCCTTGCATGTCGTTCTTAAATCTTTTGTCTAGGTTTATGAGCAGTTACCAGGGGTAAGTGAGAGGGAGGAGAAAAGGGAGACTTACTGCTTAGGGGACTCACACAGCTTCTATTAGGGATGATGGGGGAATTTAGGAATGGATGATGATGGCTGAACATTATGATGACTACTGTCATTGAAATGTGCATGCAAAAAAATGTGAAAGTGATTTTTTAAATATATATATACACACACGTATGTATGTATATGTATATATATGTATGTATATGAGTGTGTGTGTGTGTGTGCCACAATAAAAGTATGGGGGGGATAAAACCCCTGCTCAGATCTGACAATATTTTACTGTTTGCAACAACCTAGTATTCTCATTCCATCTCAATTATAATCATGTTGTTGTTGTTGTTGTTATGTACCATCGAGTCGCCTGTGACTCATGAGTAATTATAATCATAGCATCTTAAATAACCGTTGACTTCCCTCTGCTCCTGTAGTTCACCCTTTACACAAGCAGAGTGAGCATTCAAAAAGCAGGGCAGGTTGTGTCATGCTCTTGTTAAATCTCTCTGGAGGCTTTGTACTTGCCTGTAGAATCACATCAAACCCCATGGGATCTCCACAAGTTGACTCAACTTGATGACACCCAGCAACAACCATGACCTACCAGGTGCTGCTGCCTGCTCAAATCCATAGGCCCTCACCAGTTTCCTGGTCCTCTAGTACCCCTCACTCAACCAGGTAGGGTTACCCTGGCCTTCCTCTCTCCCTGAAGATACCAAGGCGACTCTGGACACTTTTGTTGCCCTTTCTGCCTGCAATGCTCTTTCGCTAAGTCTGTTCTTTTTCATTCTTGATACCCTTTCTTCATCTCAGATATAAGTTGTTCAAAAGGGGTGTTCCTGACTACTTGAACTACAACCAGTTATGATTGAGTCCCCTCTAACTCATTATGACCCCAATGTATCAGAATAGAACTGCTGTCCATAGGGTTTTCAGTGGCTATTTTTTCCAGAAGTAGAATGGGATCTGACTGGCACAGGAGGAGATTGCCCCTCCTCCAGTGGAGCATCTGGTGGATTTGAACTGTGTGCCTTTGGGATTGCAGCACAACTTCTTGTCACTAGGCCACAGAGCTCCCTATCCCAGCCTTTTTTTTTTCATTCTTGAGGGATTTGTTTGTTTGTTTGTTTGTTGTGAAAATATTTGATTGAGCATGATTCTGGAGTAAAATAATAGGTATTTTAAAATTTCTGATTATCATGATAAAATTGATTGAGGCAAGAAGATACAAAACAAATAAAAATCTTTTTTGAAATAACAGAGAAGGGGGCGTTGTGGAAGGATGTATGTGTGTGTTATATGTATCTATTCATGTGTGCCTGTATGTGCTGTTGGTGGGATTTCGTTTTATGGTTGAGCATAATAAATGATGTCAGTTGCTTTATTTGTTATTCTGAACTTAACTCATTGTAAATAAAGCACCAGGTGGCAGCAGGGAAGCATTACTACTCTTTTTTTTTTTTGCTTTTAAGACATTTCCCAGTGGATTAGCTGCTATACAAAATGGACAATTAGACACAGCCCCTGCACAAAGGACTTGAAGTCTATAGATAGATTGGCTGCTGGTGGCTCAATGGTCAAGCTCCCTGTTACTAGCTGAAAGACTAGGGTTCAAGCTCACCAGACACTCTCTAGAAAAAAAGACTTGGCAGTCTGTTCCCATAAAAATCACAGCCAAATAAATGTTGGAGAGGTTGTGGGCAGACTGGAATTCTCACACACTGTTGTGGGATTGAAAATGGTACAATCACTCTGGAAGGCAGTTTGGCATTTCCTCAAAAAGCTGAACATAGAAATGCCATATAACCCAATGATTCCACTGCTAGGAATATACCCCAAGGAAAACAGAACTGAAACACAAACAGAAATTTGTACTTTGATGCTCATAGCAGCATTATTTATAAAAGCAAGAACATAGAAAACAGCCCATATGGTCATAAAAAAAAGAATGGCTTGATACTTTGTAGTATATTCACACAATGGAATACTATACAACACTAAGGGGCAACAATTTTCTAAAATATTGTATAATATGGGAGATGCTAGAGAACATTATTCTGAGTGAACTAAGTCCTATAAGGAAAATTACTGCATAAGACTCTTATTGTAAAAATAGAAGATTAACTAAGTAAGATGTGTATTAAAGTCAAGGGTGGAGGGGATAGGGAAGAGAAATTAGAGGTGGGGAGGGAGAGAACTCACAAGATTGCAGAGTTTGATGGTCAGAAGGAGGGGATGCAGAAACTAGGAAAGAC